CCAACTGTCTCGTCCCAGCAGGGTTACAGAACTATCACGCAACGCTCTTCCTTTCAAAATTGTATCAGAAGTAGATGGCATGTTTTTTAAACAACAAAACTAACAAATCGCAGAATCAGCAAATATATGTACCTATACAAATTCAATTTTTTTCCGTTGGAGTGCAAAAAGTAAAAAATATTATGATTAATTTGCTACAAAAAAGGTCTGATACATTTAGGCCCGTTTGGTGGTTAGCATCAGATATTATGTTGATTAAAAAATTTTATCCCTTTTTGTGAGTCTACTTGACACTGTAATATATCAGTGAGTATAATTATTCAATTTAATCGAAATGAACACCATTTGAATCAGTGCACTTTTGCCAATGTATTAACACGAGTCGATTAATTACGTCAGCATAAAAATTGGTTCTCGAAATTCGATGAAGTCGACGAAGGTTGTTTTTGCTTGGACCTGATTGGCGATAGTTCTACCGGTGAGAAAGTTACCAAATTGCTCGAAAAGATGGTAGTCGATTAGGGAAAGGTCTAGGGAGTATGTTAGGTGAGACAGGTTCGACACTCGATTCGTTTAATTTTTGCACGGTGATTTATAAAACGTGCAGAACAGGATCGGACATCTTATGTTGACCAATTGCTTACGCAATTTTGAATACAATGTGATGGTTTGGCCCGATTCCAGTACGTTAAGTGAATCACACCAGTCACTGATCACCAAACAGTAACCTTGGTCTTTTCTGACGGCTATTTGCCATTGAAAAGTGTCTGGGTAGAGGATCCACTAGGTACTCAACACATATATGACGATCCGAACCAAAAAATATAGTTTTGATCGCGCAAAAGTGATGAAGAACAGGCCTCGAAACGTGACAATTTCTGTCGATCGTGTAAATCATGGGCCATCCACTTTCCGAGCTTTCTGACCTTTGTAATACGTTTCAAATAATCCAAAACCACATGGATGCTGACACCCATTTCTTCCGCCATCCTACACACTGTGTGTGATGAGTTAGTCTATACCAGGGTCCTCAAATCCTTGTAGTTGATTACTGTAGGTCGACCACTTCGGGGCTCATCTCCGTGGCTAAAATCTCCGGAACGAAATTTTGCAAACTAACGTCGTAAAGTGCATTCATTAACACTATCGTTGCCAAATGCCTGATTAATTTTTCGGGCTATTTCGGCTGCGCTTTGGTACAATTTGAATTCGCAGAGAAAAATTGGCCGGAAATCGTTCAACGAAATCATATAGTAATGAGCTGAAAAGAGGCAAAATTCCCTATCGATCGGTATACCTATATCACGATACAATAGAATACATACCTATTCATTGAGATATGGAGCTACAAAAATACATGATACGAAATGGTCAAAACTTTTGAAACAACCTGGGGACAATTAGAAGGCAAAATATTCACCTAGTTTAGACACATCCTGGCGTGTTCGGTGATATCATTTGCACGTCGCGCCTTAACGAATAAATCTTCAACAGATATTTCTGCAAAAGCAGTTTGAATTTGGGCCACTTTGGATGAACCAACTAGACCAGAAAATAATGTAATTACTTGTTCAAGTCGTCATTTCAATAAAAGTAAATTATTGTCCTTTATTAAAACAAGTGTTCCAATTTTGAGGGCAGGCTACTACTGCTTCATTTTGATACATAGGTACCTACATCTTTGCAGTACACCAATATACTCTCTTGACAAGCGGCTCCAAAATTGCTGTTCCACTTTTGTTGAATGTGTTTTTTACAGCTCACTTTGGTTAAACACCCATTCTTTGAGAAAGTTGTACAATTTTAACTTTGAAACATTTCATACAGGAAGAAACTGTTTTCTTCGCCTACTTCCTACCGTATAATGGCCAATATTTTTCACGAATAGAAAAAGAAATTATTGATATCTACAATGTTTTTAAGATTTAATTTTTTGCAGGTCCCATTTGTGCAAATTTTTGATTTTTTGACTTGTTCAATTCACTTTTGTAAAGACAGCTGTGAAAATTCTAAACAGTTTTATATAAAGCGTTCTTTGGATTTCTACTAGTTGGAAGATTATTTAATTTTTTTAATTTCTTTGGTTGAACTGCTTACTCTTTTCAATGAGACAGCTCTATACCCTCTAGAAAATGTTTGAGTCCATTCAATATATTTAAAATTTGTCTTAGATCGAATCAAAACTGAAACATTATAATTCTTTGTAATGTGACAACGTGTATTCAAGCAGGTTCATAATTTGAAGAAGAAAATCCTAAGGAACGTAAAATATCAGTAGCTTGACTAGTTGAAGAAGCTCTCAAATAGTAAAATTTCTGAGTTGTAATTGAAGTTTAATTAGAATAATTCAAAGAACTGAACGTTCAAGCATTTGAGCCAATTTCCGTAGGAGCTTGAGAATGTTGGCATATCGATAGCAGGTAATCTCACCTTCTTTATAATTTTTTTTAAATTTCATTTGACTGTTGTATACACAAACCACTTACAGTTGTATAGCGTTAGTTTTTTTCGTTTAGGAATCAGAAATGACTTTTTGCACGCTTCAACGTTCTGAAAATAAGTATTTTTTGAAAGACTCACGAACTTTAATTTGTTCAGCAATTTTATTATCAACTATGACAGATATTTCCCTAAGCAAGTTTCTATATTTTAGCCCTTTTTTTTACACGCTTTATATTAGCTTCACCTGTATGTATGTATGTATGATTGTTTGTATGCATGTATGTATGATTTTTTGTATGCATGTTTGCTTGTAACTCTCAAGCTCGGGATCTGTATTGACTGAATTATTGGCATTAGTGCTTGATGTAACCTACTTGATATTTCTTGATCTATTCGCCGGCAGATGACGCTGTACGTAACCTACTTGATATTTCTTAATCTATTCACGGCCAGATGGCGCTGTACGTAAACTCTTTGATATTTCTTGATCTATTCGCGGGCAGATGGCGCTGTAACCTCCTTGATAGGTTGTTCTTAAGAAAATCAAAATAATAAATATAGTTTAAAAAACACTCTTTCAAAGAACATCGAACTAAAAAGTTACAAATAAATATAGTTAAATAAGCATAAAACAATAAAGATCGAAAAATACTAGTATTATTGTGAAGAAAGCGTGGGCGCTTTTCTGCCATATTTTGTGTACATCTAGCGAAATCAATTAATATGATATGAATATACGTATGCAATATTTAAAGAAAGGCAGAACGAAACATTCAAAAAATCAACGAAGCACAAACTAACTTTTTTTCAAATTTTCGGAATTTATGAGTAGCACCAGTGAAAAAAACTGATTTCAGCACAAAATAATCTCGAGAAATGTTTATCAAATATCACTATGCAAAAAATTGTTTATGTACTTGTCGAATGTAGGAAGAGCTTTTTGAATTCCGTTATGGTTTCGCCCGCTTGCTGTGCTTTCGTTATAAGACTATGAGAGCGAGAGAGAAAGAGAGAGAGAATTCTCAAGTCTCTTTCTAGATTTGACAAACTGTAAAATTTGACATGCAAGACAAAAGATGATATAGTACAAAAGGCACAACTCTTTGGCATTGCTGGATCAACATAACTGTCCTGAAGGGATAAGCCTGAGCAGTAAAAGGCAACTCCTATTAGAAAAGACGCCATCTGTGGGATCGACAGAAAACTCATAAATCCGCGAATATCAAAAATATACGAGGCTTCCCAAGAGTGCTTCGTTTCAGACTTTTTTTCATCTAGTTATCGCTCTAAAGGGAGAGCTGTAAAAAAGATAGATAACCAATCATATCTGGCTGTCGATGTCAAAGTATGACTGGTCTGGCTTTACAATTGACCGCCTTGGGGAGCTTCGTTTATCTTTGATATTTGTAATCATCGCCTCTTACTACTCAAGCTTGTCCTTTAAGGGTCATGGTGGGTTGAAATAGTGCAACCTGGTGTTGGATTATGAATGCTTTGCTTTAGTACTCTCGTCTCATCTAGAAGAGTTTCAATTTAGTCTTCGGCAGTTTTTTATTTTTCATTGAATTTTTTCTAAATTTCAATCATTGATGATGAGGTAGGTAAGTGTTTAGTACTAGATTTCCACCTTTTCATCTTCAAATACCAAATATCAGGTAAAATCAGATCCTTGCTAGACCTTATCATCCACGATTAATTTGGAATTTTATACTGTTACGTTTCCCGTGGCTTGTCCAATAATTGACTGCACTAAATAATCAAACTTAACTTTATTTCACTTTAAATACAACAAACACTACAAATACAACTTCAACTATTATTTGAATGTCTATCGCCTTACTAAATCACTTCGCGAACTGCACTGTAACGTCCACTTGACTGTGTCGATATGCTCCTGGCTAGCGTTTATATATCGTAATCGAATGCAATATAAATTTCGATGAAGCTCCATCGATATCGGTAGCATTATTCTCGCTGCTTCTAGAACAGCAGGGAACATTCGCGCGCTCTTAGCTACGTCACGATTGGTTTATGGCTACCAGTGGCGGCCGGCGTTATTATTTTAGGGCAAGATTTACAGCAATACCTTATATCTATCCGGTATACCTATTCAATCTGAAAAATAAATAAATGTAGATCAACAAAGAATCTGCTCAGGTGTAATGTAGGGCAAATTGAAAAGTGTCTGATTAAACGTTAAGATGTCGTATTTATAAATTGTGGAGTTATAAATTGAGTTAAATTCTGAAATTTCAAAACTCCATTCTCCTAATTATTTATTTCATTCATAAAAGCAATTACATTCCTGACGATAATGTTTGTTTTATACCACAGGAAATCACTATATACTACAAAAACATGCAAAACCTCGGCTACATTGACAAAAAAGTTTGCCACTCAGTGTTTTTCCTACTCTTTGATGATCACGATATGTAATGAATATCTTTATCCATCACAGTTACTGCCTTTATACATTTTTTGTCTATTACTTGCCAGTTAAACTTCTGAGCAGTGCCTACCAGTAGTAGCAGTAGCCACTCCACATTTGACCATCTGTTTTTAAACAGCTGATCTGTCATTTCATCTTGACATATTATTTAAAAAACCATTCTGAAGATTCCTAAAAGTTTTATTCATTTTGAATTCTAATACTTTTTGTGATATTTCAATACGAGATTATGACTTTTCCAAACGTGTCTTATAGTTATTGAAAGGTAGGTACTTTTCTGATTTGTAATATTACTTCACCTAATTTTGATCTTTTCCAAGGTTTTTATTTACTATAGAATGAGTTGTGATTTTGGTATGATATGAATAACTGTTTCCGTCATCAAATACTTTAATAATAGCTGAAAAAACTTTCCCTTCCGAACCAATATTGTAAAATTTTTGACAAAATATATTTGCGAATTTATCTGCACTTCTAAGCAATGCTTGCATTCTTCAAAAAATGTTTATATACTGTATGCAGAGAAAATGCGTCTTCAAATATCTCATATATGTATATATAATCAATAACAATATTCATTGAAGAAGAAAGTAATAAAAATCATGAAATTATGAAACAACAAAAATTATTACATACATAGTCACAACTCTTTAAACAGCAGTTGAGTTCTTCAATATTACTCTAGGCTGACAAAGGGTAAAAATTCTCATGTTATCAATAACTTTATATAAAATTTTGGCTATATACACAACACAAAAGTGAAATCTGTATTATCAATATAGCATTTTATTCCAAGGAGGAAATCTCAAACGTGAAATGACAATTTTTATAGTTCAAAAGTTTGCATTTCATTTATTATAATATTTATTCCTGTGTTAACTTCGGTATCTGTTTAAATCTGTTTAAAATCTGTTTTTCCGTTAATCAGCTTAACTTCGGTATGTTAGTGTATTTAAAAAATTGTTTAGTCCAACTGACTCTTGAACAATTTTTATATTTGTATTTCATGTTATGAATAAATTAGTTTTGACTTTGTATTTTTTAGCATGAACGTGTCATGATACCTTCTGGAAAAATCAAGACAGTAAGTTAAGATGCCCGGAAACACACCTCCAGCCTTTGAAGTGGTCTCTCCACCTTCTGAAATAACTCCTCCAACATTTGAACCACGTCATACAGGTTCTGAAGTACCTATTTCTGGAAATAACATGACCGAGGAAGCTTCACCTGCAGCTGCTAGTGAAGCAGCTTCAACTGAGAGTGAAAGAGCTTTGTCCACTATTGCAGAAAGCGCAACTCCTATTGAAGAAACTGCACCTGTTATTGAAGGAACTGCTCTTGGTGTTGAAGAGACTGCACCTACCATTCAACTACCAGCTATTGAAGTCACTCAGAACACTCAACGGCATGGCCCCTTTCCAATGCCTAATAGAATAAGAAACAATAACCATATTCCACTGTTCAGTCTAAGAAATAGACTGTTCCACACTTTATTTTATAGATCTGCTTTGGCTTATGCAAGAATTGTACCCAGACCATTTCGCCGATTTCTAGAATTTGTTATACTTCTTAAAGCAATAGCTGCCTTTTTCGTATTAGTGTATATACACATATCTTTTTCTCGAACACCATCTACATGTTTGGCTCATGTCAAAGATTCATGGCCTAGAGATGGAATATTAAGAGTAGAAATTGTGAGGAATGCTGGAAACAATTACAACATCGAACAAAGTTATGCCAAAGAGGAGAAACTGAAACAGGGAAAAGCAGAAGATTTTGTACATGTTATTGGTTTACTAGCCAGGGAAGGATTTATGTACATAGAACCGACAGCAGTGGAGGAAACTACAAAGGAAACCCAACCACTTGATCCAGATATACAGAGTAAGATAACTTCCATACCTTTTTCTGAAAAAATATTCAAAGATTCTGAAAGAAATTGTTCTGTATGGTTCTAGAACTTGTGAATTCACTTGTTAATTTAATGACTTGGCCAACACATTGAAATTACTTTGAATATTACTGGAGTCTTTTCCCAACACCAAACCATTAATTTAACATCTTGACACGTGTTTCGATCAACAAGTGATCAACTTCAAGATCTTCCTCTTGAAGATGATCACACTTCGCTCGCATTTATGCAATAGAATAGCATAAATGCTATTATCTAGCATAAATGCGAGCGAAGCCGAGTGTAAAAGCTAGTAATATATTTTTGATGTAGATCACAATACACTCATAATGGTATGCTACTCGTTAGTTCCAAACGCGTCCAGTTCGCGCAGATGACGTGAGTGCGAAGCATATCGGGGTTGTAACTTCGTAGACTTGCCTAAATTCAATTTGAATTTCTCACAAGTTCTCTGTTGTGCTGTGAAGTTTAAGAATTATTACGAAATTATTGTCAAGAGTGGTTTTCAAACATTTTTAATTAGCTTTTGTCAATTTAGTGTCGTATTCGAAGCTTCAATAATTAAACAAAAATACGAGTAGGTAGGTATATAACTAAGACAAAAGGGACCAATATTAAGTATTTTCGATTCCCAAAGAGCAAAGAACTATCTAAACAATGGATTTCAGCATGTAGGAGGAAGGACAACATCAATTTGAAAAATGGTGTTTATTAATTAAAGCAATGATGACACATAATTTATTAGGTATTCAATGGTTTTCAGCAACTATTTGTTTTATTCATTTCCATAAAGATTGTTTCGAAGATTTATCAGTCAAAGAGCAATATGGTACTTTTTCAACAAAAAACGCCCGTATTTTGAAAACTGAGGCTGAACAAGTAACCTCTTATTTAAGAGAAAGCAAACTGAAGAATCAGAAAGAACAATTCGTTTTGCTAAAAGGAGAAAATCCACTCCTTTACCAGAGCAACAATTATATTATATTCCTTTGACGCAAACAAAATTTCAAGTCTACCAGAAATTGCAGAATCAAGGAATGCTATAATATTATGGTGTAACCGAGATACAAAATTATTTTCATGTTGGACTCATTAAAATGGTTATCAGTGTCACAGAAATTATATTTGACATCTATAATTTTCATTTTTAAAGTGTTGAATACGTTAATGCCAGAATACCTTAATGATTTTATTGTCTTTAAATCTCAAATTCATAATCATCAAACGAGAGCAAATACAGGACAACAACTTCACTTACCAAAATACAATCTTACTAAGTCAATGAAACTTTTATTTTGTAAGGGTTTCAAAGAATACAACGAACTACCCAATCACATAAAAGATGCGAAAACAATTATTTAATTCAAAACTAGTCTTGTTATGCATATAAGATCTAATAACTAATATTTGATCCAATATTATCATTATATATTTATTTATGTTTTTAGGGGCCTAAAATAATTTTTGTTATTGTTTTTTTCTTTTTTCAATTGTATGTATATTAGGATAAGTTTCCTATTCAATAAACATTCATTCATACATAACTATGGGGCTATATGCATACAGAGTCAAATTGCTAAACTATTCGAAGCATCTTATTGTGATAGATTGACCAAGTGCTTGGAACACTTTAAGCTCCTCTCAGCAAATCAGAATGGTTTCCGTAAGCACAAATAAACCAGCTCGGCAATCTCTGATTGCCTAGAGTTTATGTACAGTGAACTAAATAGTAGAAATAATGTTCCATGACTTCAGTTGTGGTTTTGATACTATTGATCATAATTTGTTGATCATGAAATTGAAAGGGTTGGGAGTTAGAGGTATTCCACTTCATTGGGTAACATCACATCATGAATAATGTGAAATCAGATTCAAGAATATTAAATACAGGAGTTCCACAGGGTTCAATCTTGGGAACACTATTGTTTATAGTATTTCTGAGTGACATTGATGACACCTGTACCTCTGCAAATCAAACGATAATATGTGCTGATGACACTAATATTCTGATGTCACAGAATAACCTTGACCAATTAACAAAATTAAGTTCCAATGCAACTAATGAAATAGAAAGATAAAGCCTTGAAAATGATCTCATCTTAAATAGAAAAAAAAACAATTATATCCGGTTTTTGCCAATGACCTATAGTTAACTTGATGTGGTAAATCTACACAATATATGGAAGCTTTCAAGTTCTTAGGTGTTACTTTGGATGGTAAGCTAACATTTGAAGCTCTCATAAATTATTATATTATGGGATGGTTCAGTCTATTCTGCAATATGGCGTGATTATTTGGGGGTCCTCTTGTCACTTTGAAAGGGCATTTGTATCTCAAAAAGGATGATAAAAAATGTGTAATATTCACCCAACTACAACACGTAAAACTTTATTCAAGTATCTTTAAATACTGACCGTTCCATGTTTGTATATATTTGAGCTGATTATGTACATTGAAAGAAACCAAAATAAACTAATAAGGAATGAGGACACTCATATATACAATACTAGGAATAAGGAAAATCTTAGACANACATTCTTGAGACAATAAAGAATATTTTGAATTGAATTGAATTGAATATTTTTCAGGCCAAATCAGTGACAGTAAATCACAAGTGATTACTGATAAAGATATGGCAGAAGATTCATTGCTAAATGTTTCTGGAATATCACCAACTGTGTGGAGAGATTATGATATGCTGACTGCCTTCCCTTTGACAATTTCTGAAAAGCCAGAGTTTCTAGATAACATTATTGATAGAACCGTTCATAAGGCAGCTAACTCAACAAAAATATTGGACAATGATCTACACAAAGGAGAAATTTCTGAGACTGTTGAATCAAAAGGTAAATATCAAACAATATTTTTAACTTGAGTACTTTTGTCCCGTTCACTGCTAGAACATACCCAAAAAAGTGAATTTTAGACTACATTTAGACGAGATAAATAACTACACATCCTTATCTTAAATGATTATGGATATTAGATAATTCTAGGGTCCAAAGTATTGTGTAAATGATCCAATTCCAAATAGTACTCTTTAAATCTGCAACATATCTCATTAGGCTCTTTTGAATGTCTGAACAATAAGTGGTGATTACAATTTGCCTTGCAAAGATGTCATCTATGGAATCAACAAAAAATTAAAACCTTGAATATCCAAAATAAACGAGGATACCAAAGTTGGTGTATTTTCTGAAGATTTCACTAAGTAGGCAAAATAGCGGCAACATTTGGGCTCTGGTATTTTCCAGTTGACTATTTTTAGTGAAAGTTGCAGCGAGAAATAAAGATATATTTGTGATTTGAATTTTCTACCAATCTCATACTTGGGTGTTCATAATGAAAATCTTCATGAAATCTAATCTTCTTTAGAAAAGACAAATATTTTCCTGTGCTGTGCAATTCTTTTTTTCCTAACAGGAGTCACAAGCTATGAGGTTCTTGATGCAATTAATGCATTGAAAAATTCGAAGTCAGTAGATACATATGATTTGAAATGCCATATCATAAGACAAACATCAAATCTAATTCTTGCGCCATTAAAATCAATGATCAATTTGATCTTCAGTGAAGGCATTTTTCCAGATAGTTTCAAATTAACCAGAGTTATTCCTATTCATAAAAAGGGAGATATTACAGAAATTGACAATTATAGACCAATATCCAATATTTCCATATTTGCTAAAATCATCGAAATAATTCTGAAAAATAGACTAGTGAAATATTTTGAAAAAAACCAATTTTTGAATAATGCACAGTATGGGTTTCGACAAAATCGCTCTACAACTCTTGCAATTCTTAATATATTGGAAGGCATAGTTGAGGGTCTGGAACAAGGTGTACTCACGGATATTACACTCTGTGACTTGTCGAAGGCCTTTGATTGTGTCTCTCATGAGATACTCATTTTGAAACTCAAATATTACGGTATTAGAGGGGTGGCATTGAAGTTATTCAGTTCATATTTAGAAAATAGAAAACAATGTGTTACTGTTAACCAAAGAAACTCGGACTTTCTACCTATAAAACATGGTGTCCCACAGGGGTCAGTGCTTGGGCCATTCTTATTTGTAATTTATATAAATGACCTATGCAACTTCCTATTACCCAATAAAAGTGTTCTATTCGCCGACGACACTACTTTGATGAGTACCGGTAAAAACCTTATGGAACTCACTTCTTCTTCTTATAACATTGAAAAACGTGCTGAAAATTGGTTTACTGCAAACAAACTCAAGTTGAACGCAAGCAAATCCCAAAAAATAACCTTCTCCTCTAATATGAACTTACAAATGGGAAATACTGTCAAGCTACTCGGAATTGTTATTGATGACAAACTCACATGGTCGAATCACATAGAACAGCTCTGTAACAAATTAGCAAGTACTCTATTTCTCTTGAGGCAGTTAAAAAAAGCAATTCAACCTGATACTCTGAGAATGACATATTTCTCTCTGTTTCATTCGCAGATAAACTATGGAATAATTTTATGGGGAAATGCCACT